TAGTTATGGTATTAGTAGTAGTAGCATTAGTAGTGGTAAAACTAGTGGAAGTGGTAGTAGTAGTGTACTACTGTAAGTAGAAGTACTAGTGATAATGGTAGTAGCATTAGTAGTGGTATTAGTGCTACTACTTATAGTAGTAGTTATATAATTAGTGGAAGTAGTAGTATTAGTATTAGTGGTAGTGGTTGTAGTATTAATATTAGTGGTAGTAGCATTAGTAGTGGTAGCAGTAGTAGTACTTATAGTGGTAGTAATAGAAGTTGTAGTTGTGTGGTACAGACGTTTTGCAAATAATTAAAATAAAATTTCATCATGATCAGAAAAACTAAGCTCACATAAATTTTATTTAATTAAAGGAGGCTTCAAGAAATGAAGATATTTCCTTACCTATAGCTATTGAAGGACTATGCTTATACGTATGTATAATCAAAGTTATTGTATTTTTAAGCCAAGTGGGGAATGTTTGGGAGACTGGAACTCCTCCGAAATTAATTGAAGCAGTATATTTGTTCATATGTCTTATTAAGACGAGGGCGGTTTGATAAGTCAGTGACTTTTTGAATCAAACAAATAAATAATTTCATTTTTCTACATAATCACCTTTTAGCTCGATACATTTGGTCCACCGTTTTTCTAATTTTCTTATTCCCTCCAAATAATAGGTTTTCTCAAAGCTCTCAAAATAAGCGTTTCTTTCGGTAATGACTTCTTCATTCGACTCAAATTTCTTACCGCCCAGCCATTTCTTTAGGTTTGGAAACAGAAAATAGTCGCAGGGGGCTAAATCTGGAGAATATGATGGATGGGGTAGCAGTTCGTATCCCAATTCGTGGAAATTCACTTTTTTCCATTTTCGTAAAAATTCACGAGTTTGCATGATTGGAACGGCTATCAAATACCAACTGAACGACGTAGCTTGTTCAAAATTAGAAAGTTGCCCACTGCTAGATTACAGCTGACGACAGCACTGTTGCATTTGGAGTAACTGCGTTGGAAATTCAAAAAGTCACTGACTTATCAAACCGCCCTCGTACATCATGACTGTTTATTAAAATAAAATTAAATTATTTAAATCACTGAATTATATAAACTCAACGAATATAATCAACTAAGCACTATACTCATCTGATATGGTCTCATGTGACTTTTTCTGTACCTAAAATTATAATCACCACTTCGAGAAAGGTGCTTGAAGTCAATTGCAGACACAAAATGAAAATCGTAAGAACAGTTAAAGACAATTTGTATTTAGTTTAAAATAGTTAATACTATCATCATCATCATAATCATTAATGGCGCATCGTTCCTAGTTGAATCGTGGCCTTTCTTGTTAATACTATATCCTCAATTAAGTTAGCGAGGAATTTTCATTAGAATAAAAATCTTCAATTTATTAATGACCAATCAGTCAATACAGAGGAAATCAATCAAACTTGATGGAATTAAATATAAGTTGAAAAGGCAAAGTTAAAAAAAAGTTCATGCAATTTAGTTTAATGATCAATTCTTGCATTCAATGCATTCTTTTGAGCATTTCTTCAGTGGTAAGTCTGTCCAAAGTATTTTCAATAGACGGCAATAACACCATATTTTGAAAGGCTCCAATTTATTCATTGCGGTTGTTTTAAGAGTCCAAGTTTGTACTCCACAGAGTAAGATTGACCATATGTAACATTTTCTAAGCTATGGACTAAATTTTAGATTATTCAATATTTTTTTGTACCTTATGAAACAACTTCTAGCCATTTCAATTCTACATTTGATTTCTTGATCTGGATCCCAAAGCTCATTTTAAGAACATCCCAGTTAAATTAATTTTGAAACACGCTCAATATTCTGATTCTGATCAGTGGGATCAGAGTTTTTTTTTACTGACTACCAAAAACTTTGTCGTTTTTATGTTTATATTTAAGCCATAAATTTAGCTTGTTTCGCTTAAAATTGTTATAAGCTCCTGTAAGTCATGATTACTGTCCGCTATTATCGTGTATCTTATATTGTTAATATAGTAGCCGTTTATTTTGATACCTTTGCCGTTATAGTTTTGAAAAGCATCGTCAAATATTCTTTTTGAATATATATTGAATAGAAGTGATGATAGTATACACCCCTGATTCACACTTTTTCTTATTGGTATTAGACAATCTATTGATATCTAAATAGCAACATGTTTCGCCTGAATACTATCCCAAAAAGGGATAGTATGATGCTAATAATTAGACTAAGCCTTATTTCAAAATGTGCTAACAAATTACGTCAACATTTATTTAAACAAGAAAAAAAATGTGTATATATGTATAAAAAGTAACTATTACCGAAGGATACTGTTGAGAAGGAGAAAAATTCAAAATAAACTTGTGATTTTAAGTTTTGAATGAGGAACTTAATACCTTACACAGTAATGTAAATTACAAATCTATATTTGCATATATTGCTAAACCTTTTTGTTTCACACATTTTCTGTTAAATTTTATTCCCAACAAAAAAGAATAAAAAAGGGAAGCAAAATTATCTTTCTTAAAAAAAAAACTAAATTAAAGAAAAAGCAAAAAGTGAAAGTCAACAACTTCTATCTTTTGCTTGATCAGAATGTTGTTGTATCTCTTATAATGCTGTAACTTAAAGGTAAACATATCCATGGGGACTTAGGCATAAAATTACTTTATAACAAACCGCATCATAGAAGCCTCTTCCAAATAAACACATATACAAACAAATTTTTATTTACACACACTTATACCAGAACAAGGAAGAAGTGGTGAGTGTATTAATAGGATAACGAAGGTAAAACTAAATTCCATATAAGTTAGCTAGGTGGCAAGCATTGAGATGGTATGGTGCCATGTTGGAACCGAAGGTACGGTAAAATGAGAGATTTTTAGATTGCTTTGGGCATGTTTATTTGATATGTTCTTCAAAAGCCTTTTTTACCGTTGTTGAAACATCGTCACAAATGTATTAAAAGGATATACTTGTTTGCCGCTTATGGTATAACATATAGTACATGCCTGGGTTACGGAACGAATATCAACACAAATTTCATATTATAGATTTTCACAACATTTCGCATAAATTGATGTTTGATATGTGCTCTTATTTTTTGGATTACATTTCTCTTCAAAATTGTTACCAGAAACAAATTCATTCTTAATTTTAAAGTTGAAATTCGAGTAATTTATTTACTTGGTTCTTAAAACTTGTAATTTTATATTTTAATATCTTTGTCGTTTCCCTTGATGTCTATAGGTTCTCTATTTTAAATTAAATTAAATGTGTTTTCCAATTTTTAAGGGGCTCGAATCCAACATTTTCTGCCGTTGTGGTTGCAAATTGGAAGGAACAATTGGAAGGAACAGACACATTTTCCGGAATGTTAAAACCAAATTTATTCAAAATTTATTTATTCTATTATATTCTAAAAAGAAATATTAAATTTCCTTATTGAACAACGTTAATAATAAAATTTACTTAGTATCGGAACTTAAATTTAGAATTTAAAAATGGTTTTTAAAAATATTGCTTCAGTTATAGATTTAATATTAAATGCACTTAAATTTATTAATTAAAAGTCAAATATTGAAGTTAGAAGGGTTCGAATAGAAACGAAAAGACAACAATAAAAATGTTAGTTTATTTATTCAAAATTGATTGACCATACAACGCTGTTTCGAGTATAATATTGCTCATCATCGATGCGTTTAGGAAATACCATTATTATTAAAGTATTGTATGTTTTCTTTATTTTCTATTAGCACGCTACCTCGCTGCGATTGGCATATTACTATTATTCAGTAAATTTTAATGTCTAGATATACAACTTCATAAATGATAAATATGCATTATT